ATGATCTTATAAATAAAAAAAGAAAAGATCCTGAATTTTTAAAATTATTTAATCAAGCAGTTACTCTTACAAAACCCCCAAAAGCTACAAGAAATTAAACAATCGATCAAATTTTAAAATATTATTTTATGAAATAATTGATAATATTCTAATGCAATTACATACCAGATTTCAAGACACAAATAAATTACTTTTATTACAGTTAGCTGATGTAACTAAGTTTAAAGAATATTCTTGTAAATTTCCAGAAAATGCTTTAAATAATTTTTAAGGTTTTGTACAGTGATGTAAAATATCAAAATTTATTACACATTTATGACATGGTTAAAATGATTGAACAAGATATATTGAAAGACATTTTACCTGAAATTTATAAATTATTTATTCTTATTTTGACCATACCAGCAAATAGTGTATCAAATGAAAGAAGTTTCTCTAGTCTCAAAAGAATTAAAACCTATTCTCGAAATAGTATTTCACAAATTCATTTAAGTTCTCTCGCTATACTATCAATTGAAAAGTCCTTGATTCATCAACTCAAAGAAACTGAATCATTTTATGATAATATTATAAACATATATGCTAATCAAAAAGATAGGAGTATAAATTTAACATACAAAACATAAGAATTTAATTTGTTTTATTTAATTCATAGTTTCAGGACTAGGCATACTAAAAATCTTTTTCAAAACTAGGAATACTAAAAAAGTCCTTTTTATTACAACCAAATATTTAAAAACTCACTTTATTATTCATTAATTATGATATTATTTACTATACAAAACAAGTATTATTAGTTATAATTATTTTTATGTTTTTAAATTCCATTATTAAGAAATTTAATTTTTGTTATGAAGGGGGGGGGGTTGATACATAAGTTGCCTCACTAAAAAAATACAATCAAAACCGCCACTGTCATAGTTGACCCGGACGTAGTGAATGCTAATCCACTGGTCTTATACGATTCACCTTGACATTTTAGATTGATGCTACTTGTATTTTGTGCCCCCAACCCTGGATTACTTATATAACCAGTTAAACTCGTGGATTCCGCATTTTACATATATCATAATAACGCCTTTCTATAATATTTGTTTTAATATTTGTTATGTACTATGTGTCGTCTCTACAATATAACTCGCAAGGACCTACATCTATGTATGTCCGTAACAATAAATTATAAATAATATTAAAAATAATAATCCATATTACATTTACTTAAAAATTTAGAAATAAAACTTACCTTTATTTGAATCAACCTTTTTAAAATAATTTAGTAAACTATTATTCAACGTACAAATTCAGATTTCTGTCACAACTACAATAGTTTTTATTATTTTTATAACAAACTTTTTAAGAGCGTGGTTGGCGGACATCTTAATACAAAAACGATAATATATTTCCAGACGATATAAGTATTTAACCAATAACCATATTATCATGGAAAAATAAAATGGAATGATATCTAACCTCTAATACTAAGCCAGGTTCACACAACACCGCGATCTTAGAAGATACAATGATGTAACATCATAGTTCAACCAATCGGAGATAATTATTTTAGAAGACACGACACGGCACGGTGTAGTGTGAACTTGGCTTAATTATCTCCGATTAGCTGAACCATGTTGTTACATTAAGGTATACTGTATAATAAATCACAAGTTACCTCACTAACCATATGTTACCATGAAGTTGATTTCAGCCAACTTCTGAACGTGTAATTACTGATTTTAACAAGCGTCTAGTCACAGGGAATACGAATGGTTGCAAAATAGGAGCGCCTAAACACAGGAATGCAGCTTATGCATTCTGCGCATGCGCGTAATTTATTCACCACTATCATAATGTTAGGCTGTTATCAATATATTATATCAAATCACTATAATACGATAATAATATTACTATAATAATATGAGTTTTCAAACAAACTATTCAAAATTTGAACATACTACTTACGTATTTAACACTTTTTTTTTGTGCTTTCAGTAAATTTCAATAAATAAATCATTATACATATCAGATACATTTTTAAAAAAAAAATCAAAACAGCAACAACTATCTAATATGTTGAGATGGCTTTTAATGTTTATTTTTATCTACATTTACCCAATTACCTATTTGAACATTTCATAAACCAGACTTTATCAACATGTATTACACAAAGGCTATTTACTAAATGTTTTATTGAGTATTAATAAAACAATTCACAAACATCTTACACATAAAAATTCAATATCATCTAATATATATATATTATATATATTATATATAATATATAAACTGTGCTCGACTTGGGGGGCACGCAGGGGGACGGAGTACCCCAACTAGTTTTCAGAAATTTCAGCGTCCCCCTACTATTATTACGCTATAATCATAACGCTCAGTCAGTTTTGGGGACGTCCTTTTTTTTTAAAGTAAATAGAGTTCCCCTTCTTTAATTTTGCCAAGTCGATCACTGTATATAAATGATATTATCTTAATAGTAAGTACAAGTATGAATTATTGAAACCAACCAGTGTAGTGTGCCGAGTTGTGAGTTCAACACAGTTACACAATATTAGGATGTAAGGATTTTATAGTTAGATTAATAACTTTATCAAGAATACTTATTACGGTATTACTTATATTTTATTTAACACTTTTTAATTTAACATCAACTTAGACAAAGTAAATGATAGTAACAAATATAAGCGGAGCGTATGTATACATTTGATTGCTAATGCTGTTTTGTAACTTTTTCCTATTCGAGATTTTACGATTCGCACGTGGTTCATATTACTTCTATTAATTTGCTTATAGTTATAATTGTAAATTTTAATTACGCAGTAACTATAAAATACATATGAAAAAATATTATGTATACATAATATATTACACTAGAGTTGAAACTAAACATCTCAGTAATATACTACTACTACAAAAAAAAAAAAATTATAACGAAACTGAACATTATTATTTAAAAACTAAAATAAAATGACAATATATTATTTACATAGAATGTACGTAGTTAAATTTTTAATAGTTTTATTCATAACTCATATTATTATAATAATATTACCATAGTATTATAGTGATTTGATGTGATATATTGATTACAGCTCATTGAGTAACTATGGAACAACCTAACATTATGATAATGGTGAATAAATTATGCGCATGCGCAGAATGCTTAAGGTGCATTCCTGTGTTTAGACACTCCTTGCAAGATGGCCGACTTCGTTATCATTATCAGTTATCACAGATTTTATTATAACCTTATTAAAGTTATTATATCACTTATATAAGTAATAGAGTAATATATAATATATCACTTTATTATAGTTATAATTAATAAATAATAATTAATTTTCAAATAAGTTATAATTGCTGTATGTGGAAATATGAATTGTACAGTAGGACTTCCTTTATACGGTGTTTCTGCTTCTTGTCTGACCATATAATATAGTATAAAAAAAAATATATATAATTTTATGAGTACATTATTTAATATGACAATAATTAGTTGTAAAATAAGTTTTAATTATTATAAAATAAAAAAATTATGTTGTGAGACGTGAGTACAATATTCAATGTGATTATAATTCTTAATAGTTAGTTAATAATAATTAGTGTTTAAATAAATATTAATAAAATAATAAAATAAAAACGATGAAATGGGTGTCGATGGTTTTGGTATTCGTGAAATAGTCCAAGAGATTAAAAATATTAGATCAGTTTATTATCAATAATTGAAAAAAATAAATAAATTTAAAAAATCAGGAGCATCTGCAATTGATATGTGTGAACTGGGGGTCGTAAATTATTGGTTGTGCAATTCAATCGGTCGTGAGACATGCACAGAACGAGTAGTATTCTCGCTCAGTTTACGACTCCGTGTGAACCCGGCTTAAGTATTAAAAAAAAAAAAAAATAAAAAATTAAAGAATCGACTGTTAGGCGGTGCGAAGTTCGCGGGTCAACTAGTATATATATATTAAAAAAATATGTTTTTTTAAAATACTATAATTATAATATTACTCCTTAAATCCTATAATTGCGATAAAAATGTCTGCAGGTGCCTATGCACCATGGATTCAATATGAGTTATATTAAAAAGTTTATTTTTATCTAAATTGAGTTTTATGTATATTGGAATTGAAATATCGATCACGAAAACAGGAGTAAAACAAATGTAATAACCTAACACAATATAATATGTAGTGCTCGAATTGGGAAAAATTAAGTAGAGGAGCTCAGTCCAACGATTCGAAAACTGCGTTCCACGTGCGCAATTATTTAACACAGACCCGTAGGGGCTTCGTCCCTCGCCCCTACCCTCCTCCAATCTTACATATATTTTGAATACTACTTTTCAGCTAAACAAATATTTAAATTCCAAATATAATATATTTTGATAGCAATACCAACAATACCAACACCCTACATGTTACAATAGAAAATAAAAATAATATAATAGTTAACATACTTGTAGGCGATCAGGCAGTTTCATGAATCGAATAATATAAGCATATACTTAGTTTTTGTTTTTATCTATTTTTACTCTTTAGTGCGGGCCACGGCCGAATATAAGTCGTGGTGCGGGCATTTATTTTTTTCCGAAATGCCGATATCGTCAATCGCCAATATTAATAACAAACCGTACAATGTATAAAGTATAATACACCAAATTCACAGACATTGCTATTTATATTTTTCCAGAAATGACGATGTTGTCCCCTATCATAATCACCATATAATCTTTAATTATGAAAATAGTTTTGATTTATAAAAATCGTAAAATTCGTTTTCAAATTGACGTAAATTGAAATTCACATAAAAATTATTTTAGATATCTATTAGGATGAACGTGGCGTCCCCCGTTCAGGTGAAAAAATGTAGTTAGGAAATCTCGAATCTTGAGTTTTCCAAATCAAATAAAATTTTTGAAGTCATAAGTCTTTTGTAGCGCGCTCTAGTTGTGAATAATCATGATAAGAGATATTGGTAAAATAAATGGATAATGATAATTGATAATTACATTAGTGAAAGTAGCAAAATTAAGTATTGTAAATATCCAAATTACAGTAATAACTGCCATGTCTTGGCTCATAGACCTAGCTGGTAAAGCAGAACATTATCTGGAAAAAATCGATCAGAACACAGCTGTAGTCTTACAAAACCAAAAAGAGAAACCATCAAAAGATGTTTTTAAGTATTGAGTTTTTATAAATTTATATGTAGCCATCAGCATTCACAAACTTAGTTTAATAATTATCTTCATGTTAAATGCTTACTATTTTTATTTTTAAAGAACGCCAGAAGTGTCAGAAAATGTATCAATAGATATCGAAAGTAAACCTATAACATCAGTACCCAGTTCCCCGGCAACCAAGTCATTACTGAAAAAACCGAAAAATGATGCTCGCATATCAGATGAACATTTACTCCAATATTTAAATAGCCAGGATTCTGCTATAAAATCTCAAGTTTGTTACAGTTGTTTTTAATTATTTATTTTTATTGGACACTAATAACATTAACATTATAATTAGTATGAAGGTCATTCCACTTCTATGGATAATTCAATTGATTCAATATCCATACCGTTGACAGAAGAAAACCATATGCTTAAAAATGAAATAAGAACATTAAATAATGAGATGTCATTGTTACAATATAAATTGAAAACAGCAGATAAAGGTAAGTCATTTGGATCGTTAATGATTTATTTGAAATTAATTAGTTGTTCAGTGATGTGCTTACATGGTAAGCTGACTAGATATGGACTAAATCACTTTGTTAATATGATTTGAACTTTGTTAATTTGATTGTTATTGTGTTTTACAGTTAATTAATTTTTCATTATTATTTATAGATATTAGCCAAATTGCAATAGAACTTGAAGTAAATAAAAGGCATTCAGCTAATTTAGAAAAGGAATTGCAAGAAGCTCAAGTTCAATTACGAAATGCTCAGGATGTTATGTTCCGTTTAAAAGAAAAATCGAAAAAAACAGATCCTGTTTCTGTAGATCACAATTTAATTTCTGATAGTAATCAAATGCATGAAAATCAAATGCTGCAGAAAGAAATAGCTTCATTGCTCAAAAAGTATGTAGGGAACAACAAAATGTATTCCATTTTATCTTATTATTTTTATTTTTTACCATTATTTAGAATTGAGGTAGATGAATTAAAAAAAACTGATTTAGCTGCAGAAAAATTAAACTTGGAAATGGCACTCAATAATATTCAGTTCGAGAATAAAAACTCAGTGAAGAGAGAACAGTTTTTAAACTTATCCACTGAATGTAATACAATAACTTCTCTTACCAAAACAAATTTAAATAATATTGTCCAAAAACTAAAAGATTGTTTGAATGAATTAGAAACAGTTAATGTATCAGCAATCACTGACCAAGGGTAACATTTGTTTAAATTAGTCTCTTTTTTTCCATTAATAATGAATATTAATTATAATTGTTAAAGGTCTCCAAGTTACTCAGAATTGGAATACTCAAACATATTAACCAAATTAAATGTCATGAAAAGCAATTTACTTTCTATTGATTGTGGATTACAGAAGTCTCTACACGATCTTAGTAGTTTTAAAGAGAGACTTGCAAATTTAGATTCAGAGCCTCTTCCAGAAAATACTTGTAATAATCACTCAGATATAAAAGAAGCAATGAACGAACAATTGTTATCACTTAAAAAAATGGTAGCATTTAAGCAAGCTGAATTAGAACAAGTTTTAGCTGAAAAACATTCAATGGCAATTAGAATTGAAAGCTTAGAGGTATTAATTAATTAATATTTATAAGATTGTTGATTTACGTTAAATATTAACCTTTTTTAAAAATATTTCAGACAAGATTAAAGAAAGAAACTAATATATCAATCAATGTTAATGATACAGATGATGGTAAAAATGGTTTAGAAAATTATTTAACTTAATAATTATAAATGTTTAATCTTACAGCAAAAGCTAAAGTACCTCATTTTATGTTGGAAAATGCGTTTGATACTAGTGTAGCTAGAAGAGTAAAACGTGCTTATACTAGCTTAGATTCATTTGGTTTACGTACAGGAATGTATTTACGGAGATATCCATTGTTAAGAACTATATTATTTTTATATGTGGTAAGTATTTTTCAATAATTTTTATTTGATTTTATTTTATTAAACACATTTTATAAAATGTGAAATTTTTTTTTTATTAAATTATTTTCATGAATAATTAATAATGAATAATTAAACTTCTGTTTTAACAGTTGAATTAATTAGATAACTTATTTATTCCATATAGTATTAATTACAACTAATAAATTAAAATAAATATATTGTTTAAAACAATTTGATTCACAAGTAAACATATATCACTTATTTTTTTTATGAAACATATATTTAATTGATAAGATTGCAATGAAATTTACATACTAGTACAAAAACTTGGTTTATTTTAAGATCATTTTTTTGATCATTATCATTGATTGATTAAGTTATTGATGCCTTCCCTTTTCCTTTGTCTCTATGGGTATTTTAAAATCCCTATACGATTTTATATTGGTGTCTTCCATTACTTGTTTTGTGAACAATGGTCTAGATCAATGGTTTTCAACCTTTTTAACAATGCGGCACACTTCATCTCCAACAAAATTTTTGTAGCACACCAATTCATACATTATGTCAGGGGTGGCCAAATTGCGGCTCGCGAGCTGCATGTGACCCTCGTCATAGTCGTATGCGGCTCGCGGTCTTATTTACAAAAAGCAAAATATTTTAATTTTTTTGTATACATTTGTAAAAAAAAAAATTTTATTGCATGGATACGAGGCTATAGTGTACAGAATAAAAAAAAAAAAAATTATTTATATGAATAATAAATTAAAAAATTAAACATCAAGTTAAATTTGTTTGCGTGGTATTTTTTTCATGTCCACTTTTTAGTAAGCTTCTTAAGATTTGGTTGAATTGATGTAAGAGTAGTTCTTAGTAATTCTGTGAGATGATCATTAGTCAAATTTTAACGATATTTTGACTTAATTATTTATATATATATGTTTATCAACTGTTAGCTTTCTTAATTACTTTTGTAGTATAGAAGTACCGATTAGATAATTTGACTCTTAATATAATCTTATTAATACATGTGGCTCGTGTACATAGACATGTTGGCCACCCCTGCATTATGTGAACCATATTTTATATATATATATATATATATATACTATTTACAGTCTAATCTATTGGAGGGTTATTTATTGTGAAATATATTAATACAATTGATCGATCAAGACGGCTGCGACGGGCATACTTACATTAAATAATATTATATGTTTTTTCGATTAGTTCGATCAGTTTTCATCTTGAATATCAATAATAAGCTGGTAAATACATACTTATAAAACAATTTATAGATTTATGACGGCACATTAAAAGAACGCTCGCGGCACACCAATGTGCCGCAGTACACTGGTTGGGAACTACTGATCTAGATCCTCCCCTTTTTTGCTTACCTATTAATTTTCTTTTAATTAATAACAACCTTATATTTGATAGTATGTCAAAAATATTAAATCTTGTTCTGTAGTTGTTTTAATTATTAAAATAAAATATCACTTATAATTATGCACACAGAGCTCTCTAATTTAATTTTATTGAACTATGAAGATACTAAATTTTGCTGTACTTGGTAGACTATTAAAGTTAATACTTTTAAATTCAAAAGCAACAATAAATTATATTTAAAAATCATTTAACTGTCGTAAAACATATTAGAACCTTTAAAAAAAAGTAATTTTTTTTTTTTTTAAGCATTAAAATATAAAAAGTATAAATAATATCTAAGTAATAAATATATCTTATAATAGATTAAACTTACCCATAAAAAGACATGTTTAATATTTGATATTAAAATGTATATTTTTGTATTGTTGATCCTGTATTTAATTTTGAGGTTGACATGTCTAAATTGCAAATTTGTAAAATAAAGACTTAACATTTTAAAATTATTTAAATTCTTTAGCTTGAAAATAATTAATTTATATATTTTTGTGTGGTATATTTATTTATTTACTGATGTATAAATATAGTTTGATAATTTTGTTTATTATGAAAATAGCATTATATTAGTGTTATTATTTATTGAGAGAATTATGTTACTGTATTTATTGTAGATAAATGTTACCCTCCAATAGGAGGTAATTTAAGATTCTTTTTTTAGTGTGACTGCTATAGAATTTTCATTGCATTACCAAAATAAATAAATAAAAATATTTTCACTTTGTTCAAAAATAATTAATGAAACTATAGAATAATCTACTATCTTTGGATCCAATCCTAATTTTATAGTATAAGATGTTTTTTAGTTTGTTGTTAGCTTATAAATTAAAAACATTAATAATTCTATTATTTTCAGGTGTTTCTTCATTTGTGGGTAATGTTGATACTATTTTCATATACTCCAGAGACGAATTAAATTTCTAATCCTTATTTTAACTGAGCATCTGTACATTTAACAAATCAAATATAAATGTATTAATTATTAATATATTTTTACTATTTCAAATATATATATATATATATTATTTTTTGTAAGGTCATTTACCAAAAGTTTTACAGGAACAGTTTTTTATTAAATAATATATTTTATTTACAATATTCTTATTATTTTAACAATATCCTTTTAATACTTATCTTTATAATACTAACTCAGTAATTCCCATTTCCAATTTTTCATTATGAAATAAGCAATAATAATAATACAAAAAATAATATTCACTTAGGTAATATTAAGATATTATATAAAATAAGTAAGGAATATATTATGTACAATATTACTATTTAATAGGCGATAAGTAATTATATAATACAGTATAGCACTTTAAATATAAATTAAACGATAAGCGTTTGTACAATATTGATATGCTTTAAACAAGCTTTTCATTTTGAATGATATGCAAATTGAAAAAATACACATAATTGACTAAATTATAAGTGATTTCTTATTATTATATAATTTTTCTCATGACTTATTTTGATTGTTATTTAACACATTCCCACAATAGTTTTTGTTAAATATAATACATTTTGTATGTTTAAAATAAATATTGTCGAATTCAAATACCAGCATAATTTTACTCAGTAAATAACTTATTATATACAGTAGTCACTGTTCACTTTGGTATTGAAAAAACTGATTAAATAATACTATCCAAATATTTTAAAAAAATAACATTTTAATACCTACATTTGTTAAATAAAAATATTGTATTAATGCAATGCTATACATATAGCTATTATATATTTATTTCAAATTAAATAAGAAATATTATCTTATATAACATATATTATTTATATTATGATGTTTTATTATCTATATAACATCATAAGAAAATATTCAAAATATAAACATATTAAAAATTGTTATTTAAAGTGCATAATTAAATTATTTAAAAAAACTTTTAGTGATGACAGTGTTTTATTTACTGTTTAAAGATCACAGACAAAAAAAACTTTTATATTTGTTATGAGAAACAAAATTCATGGAGCAATGATAAACATTTTTCCTTAAAATTCATTGGGATTCTTTAATTTCTGTATAAATTTAAGATTTTTATTAATAGAAATTTAGGAAAGAATATTGTTAGAACAAATAGCTTATTAAACAATACATATTTGTACTAAACTGTACTAAGATATTTACATTTTTAAATCTTTTATTTTTAAACATACCAGATAAGAAATAACACCAATCATTTAAATTAGGTATGGTTATTTATTATTATTTCTCAAATTACAAATATACCCCCGAAAAATATTATAATAAATAACTTGAAGAGTATTTAATATTAAATTTTCAAAAAAAAGGAAAAAGATTTCAAATAACATTTTAGTATTTTAAATTAAGACATTTATTTAAAATATTTACTAGACATAAATTATAACAAATGAGTGTCATTTTTAGTCTATTCTTTGGTAAATTTAAAATTCAAAATTAATAATTCTTTAATATAGTTGTTGGTTGAATGATAGGTCAATATTTCTTTTATAATTAAAATTAATTAAAAAATAACTTTTTTTAAAACTTCAAATATATTTTCTGCAATTCAAACTGATTCTGTAATTATGCAATCCATTTGGTGATATTATAGGTGAATCAGTGGTGAGTTGGTAAGTGTGTTTGCTATAATAAAAATGTTTCCTCAAATTTATTTTTAAGAACCTTTATTTTTAGATTTTTACTATTATCTACTGTATGTAGTAGGTATAATATTTATTATTCTTTGAGATATAAAATTAACTTTTCAATACAATAAAAATTAGGCATCACATACTTAATTGGTATTTGTCTAAATACTGTTACATAATGTTGATTTTATGCCCCTCAAATTTATTACATCATAGGCGTCACTGAGGGGTATCAAGAGGTATCTTTGCTACCTAAAAAAAAAGTTATTATTCAAGTGTGTACAAACCGTACGTTATAGACCATCTATTATTGTGATTATATCGAAAATAATTATATTTTGTGATAAGTCCAATACAACCAACATCAAAATGGAGAAATACAGTGATGATGATGACATCGATCTTACGAAGGTGGATCTGACATCTCCCACCATAGTGAACACACCCTGATACAATACACCAAGTATACCATAGGCCATTGTGTCTCACGAGATTTTAAAATGAATAAGAACATTGCCCTAGAGTTTAGAAGAAAATTCGGTAAAGTAGAACAACTTAAGAATCAAAATAAAAAATTAACAGAAATAACAAGTGTAACATCAGAAAGAAGAACCGTAATTTTTTAATAATTAAAGAATACTTTTGGCAAAAATTATGCTAATCATGCTATAAAAACATATTTTTAACGCTAAAAAATCTTAGACAATTTTGCGTAACTCAAAATATTACAAACATAGCACTACCTCAAAATTCTTGTGGAATAGATGGTCTCGAATGGAATGAAATACGCACTATGATCAGGTAAATTTTTAAGCTCTCAAATCAAAATTCTATTATTCACCAATGACGAATACTCTAAAGATGAGAAAAAAAATCATCATAAAAGAATTCCATGAGACCCCTCTAAGAGGCCATCAGGGGGTTTCTCGTACAATGAAACGCATAATACAACACTATACTTTGAAAGGACTAAATGCAGATATAAAAGAATATATAAAATTATGTGCATCCTGTCAAAAGAACAAGAGTAGTAACCACAGTATTCAACAACCTATGGTTGTTACTACTACAGCAGGGAGAACATTTGAAATTTTTTTTTTAAATATAGTTGGACTTGTAGACCTTTCATGTAAAAGTAATTCATATATTCTAACTATACAATATGATCTCTCAAAATATTCGACGGTGGTACCTTTACCAGATCATACGGCCAACACGGTTTCACAAGCATTTATAGAACATTTTGTTTGTTTACATGGAATTCCGAACTCAATTGTCACCGACCAAGGTCGGGAGTTCATGGGCAAAGTATTTTCAGCTTGTTGTAAATTACTCAAAATTAAAAAAATTAATACTACTGCTTATCATTCTCAGTCGAATGGTGTGTTAGAAAGGTCACCTAGAACCTCAATAGAGTATCTTAGACACTTTGTACAAAACAAAAAACAAGACTGGGATCAGTACGTCGCTTATGCTATGTTCGTTTATAACAGTTCAGTCCATACGGCTACAGGTTTCCAACCACATGAACTCGTATATGGGTATCCTATTGAAGTACCCCATACATTAAGTAAAATATCACAAAAATCCTACAAATACGAGGATTACACAAATGAACTACGTCAAAAGATGCAAGAATCATTTAAATTAGCAAAAGATCGTCTTATAGATAAAAAATAGAAAACTAAAGAACAATATGATAAGAAAATACATGAGATTACAGGAAAAATAGGAGACATGGTTCTATTAAAGGACCGTACCCATAAAGGAAAATTTAACCCAAAATGGCTGGGTCCCTTCGCCATAACAATTATACATGATAACAAAAATATTTCGATTAAAAAAGGACAGCAAGAAATAAAAGTCCATAAAACTGAATTAAAAATAAATAATTCTTAGCAGATTTCAAACAAATATTTTTCTTTTCTATTAATTTCATCTCAATGTAAATAATTCAACTAAGATGCACTATGTACATTGTACATATATAAATATCATACAAAAATAATGCCATCATGTTAGTTTCAAACAATTCTTCTCATACCAAAAGGTTTTATCCAATATGAAGTTAAAAATATTCAACATCCGGCAGGAATTTATTATCAAGCTATAACAAGTGTAGGATTGTCTAATACTCATTGGCATTTACTTAACTATTTGAATATAACTAACTATAATGAAAATTTCGAGAAAATAAAAAATTATAAATTATATTATATTACTTATATTAATATAAGTTGAAACGGCATGTATACATTAGGAAAACAATTAGAAATTCTATATAATATATATTCTAAATCTATGTTATCTAATTTAAATTCTTCCCTTATAGCGTTAGCAGAAAATGAAGAGATTTTAACCAAAAAATATAATTACTTGATTAGTGAAATTGTAACAGAAATAGAAAATCTAATTCTAATACAATATACGTTAGAAACAAAAAGACTAGAAAGCGTGGTAAATACCGCTATTCACGGATCAATCCATTCTAGCTTATTAGATTCTTTTACTTTGAAAGTACAACTAAAATAAATTGAATCGCAACTACCAAAAGGAGCAACTTTAATTATATAATTAAACCTATCAGTGTATTATCACATTTCATTTTACTTTTCGAGAGACGAACTCAACGATACCTGGTGTCAACGGATCAACCCGGTGAGACCATAACACGGGCTATAAGATAGTGGTACACTATACGTCATACCATGAAAATTCTTTTGGCAATTTTTGAAAATGTATTTTTTAACTTTCTAAAAATAAACTTTGCTACCCCAAAATTTGGACGAGTGACGCCCATGGATTACATTATACTAGTATTGATTTCAATAACTGAGATCATTTACACTTATAAAAAAAACTAATACCTATACTAAATATTAGTATTTAACAAATATATTAAACTCGTACTCACACTTTTCGATGATAATAAATGATTTTACGATTGATAAAAATAACCGGGATTATAATAAACAGTGACTATTGTATCTAAAAAAATAAATAAGATATATGAAAAGTTATAGTATTAAAATATTTTTTTTATAAAAATGAGTAATAAAGTAAAAAAATATATTGTTAAAACATATTGGTTTTTAAAATTATTTAGAATAATCACATAAATTATAAGTATACTATATCTATACAAGTGTAATGGTTAGAATTGATCCGTTTAAATTTATTTGCGTCAAGTCATATTAAAATGTAGAATTATCTTAGCTAACAATAGAAAATTTCAAATTAAATAATATGCAATATGCGAACAAATTTTATACAAAAAATTAACTTATCTACATAATTTAAAAGGATTTATTTGTAACTTACATGTCAAAGAATCCCATAGTTATTATTCAAATTATAAATCTTTGGATAGTAGTCGAGCTGTAATTATTTGAGCAGAAAAATCTTAATATTAAAAAAAAAATCTTTGGATATTATTTCTATGTTATTATTTCTTATGTATTCATAATTGTTCTTTTTTTTTATTTTTTTTTTGTAGAATATATTTATGTATATACATTATATACTTGAATTTATTACGTAATGATTTCCTAAAACATCGAAAATATTCATTGTAAATCGCATATAATTTCTTAACTTGTAAATGCTCACTGGAATAAATGACATATTATATTATGTTATCCACTATTTAGTACAGATTGGTTCCACGATTACAATTAATCGATTAAAATTTAGTTTTGTTGCCTATTCGTTTTATAAACATAAGTGGTACAAGAATTGTTTGGCGAGATTTTGAACACAATAAGTAATTAATTATGATATGATTTGAAATGTAATACTTGACACGGCTGGGTCATAAGAAACAGTAGACGAATAATAATATCACGTAAAACGTTTAGTAAGCTTCCGTATTTATAACTTTTTTAAAATGCATACGCGCATAAAATATGTGATGGAGGTATTAAGGTGTGAAATCGACAAGTAATTAAACTGTCGATTTATTTCGTTGCGGATTCGTTATTATTTTTCCGATCCTTCTGAATCTGGGTAACCCTCTTGTGCAACGCTGACAATTTGTTCTCCAAGATTTGATTGTGATGAAATAGTGTCATCGTCTGAATTGTCAGCAACATCAAAGCAGTTCTTTTACGGATAACATCCAAATGTTCTTCGGTTACGACCGATTCCTCCGGTAAATTATCGAGTAACCTTTTTAAATGGAGCTGTACAACAATAAAATATACACATTTTTTAGCGTTTATGTACATGTATTACTTATCATAAGAAATTTAATCAGCGTCCCTCTCAATACTACATATAAAAATAGATAACTAACAGTGCTTAAAATAATTCAGAAGTAAAGCTATATATTATACGTACATTATGAACTTAGAAAATAGGTTACAAAAATAAAATAAATATACTCAAGGTATGAAAGTTAATGTAAATGCATCAGGAGTACACAGTACTCAAGACTTGGAGTGAGAGGAGACTCAGGGGGCTCATTTACCCTACATTTCATAATGCTTATAAAACGTCATTTTTAACACGTCTCCGAAAACTTTACTGAAACGCTCAACTGTTTGTTAAAAATAATAAAACAGTTGAAAAATTGGCTTTGCAATTTAGTTAGTGTCATTAATTGTTAAACAGTGTTTTACAAACAAAACTAACTCATAATAATAATATAAATTATAAATTATAGAGTAATATACATATATGTATACCTTAATTTAATTTTTTTTTAATTTTATTTGAAAATATTTATAATCGATTATTAAAAAAAAGAAGTAAGTGATTTACAAGTTTATGCGTTTTTACAGTACATGAATAGTTTATGGAGGAAATTGTTCATTAACAATACATAGGAATTTATATACCTAGGTATTTATAATTAATTGCTTGGTAATTGTATGGGGCTATTTGGAATGCTGGGAATGATATATGAATTAGAGTCTCTACTGCTCTTTTTTGCTACTTTAAACCCTGACTGTACACTGTTTAATTAACAGTTTTATACCAGTTAAATATATATTCACACGTTTTAGGCGAGATCATTTCATAATAAAGAATTTACTTTCAAATGGTAATGTAAGTTTCACAAGTCAATTTGTATGGCACTAAGCTTCAAAATAATAGATACCTATATTTTCAAAAAAAAATTATTGATTGAATTTTTAAACAGCTTAATAACTTTTCAGAACAAAGACTAGGAAATTAACGACGAGATCAATTGAATACGTAAATAAACAATGTTCAATATTATTTGAACAAATTTAGTCATTACTAGAAAATAAAATCTGAATAACTAAAGCGGCAAATTTAATATTTTACTTTATCTTGTTAACCATAAGGATACCGCATACAAATTAAAATAATATTGATTTTTTGTTGAAAAATGTTTAAATTTATTATATTATAGAACAAGTTAAAATTATTTATAACGAGAATTAACTTACCTTTAGTGGTGACGAATAAGATGTATTTCTTTTAATGTTAAACGTAGAATTACGATTTCTTAAACAAGGATTCCATTGAGTATTAGTTCTAACACCTGAAATTAAAAACCATATGGATAAAAATGTTGAAAGTATAGAAATATGTATAAAACTTGGTAAGATTATTTGAATTAGGTATAAAGTTCTCGAACTAACGAACTAAATGAGATTTATTTGAATTTATATTTTATTTGAAAAAAACAATTTATCAGAGCCGTCCCAAAGGTGGGTCTTAGGGAGAGTGTCTCACCCCTCAACAAAAACACCAGTTGGCAGTCGAACTTGTTTCATTATAACCTAAAAGAACCATTATAGGCCTAGATGTTTTAATTACTTATGTGTGTTAACTGACAATAAACTACTATCACCACTGTTTATCTTGAAGTGTTCCCATACGAATCGATGTGACACACGACTTTTTTTTTTAGTTAGCGACTCGAGCGTGAAAAACGCGTGACAAACCCAAAAACATTGTGACGTCTCGATTCGTATGAGAATTTTGTAAAAAAATACAACTAAAGTGTTTATTTTTACAATTAAGGTAATGTCCTAAAAATAAATTGAATAAACGAAGATTTTGTGGATTGAAAAAAATTTCAAAAAAATCTACTTTGGGTCATCACAGCGAGTACGCGTATACTGGTGTCCTCATCCATTTTAGAAACACCCTGTATATATAATTCAATTGTCAATTTTAAGAACGTGTGACACTGATACATACATACATGTTAAAAAGTAAAAATACGACAATATATAGTTAATTATAGTACAACATACATGAGTAAAAATATTGTAGTCAGCTTTTTTTTTTATTATTCACCGCCCCCTCCCCTTGATTTTCATCTTTCGGATGGCCCTGCAATTTATTTTATACATATATACATTTATGTAAAAATCCATAAATTAAATAAATATGAAATTTAAATATGAATTTTTTATTAAAAGGTTACATATTTAAATTTTTATTGTAGAACTGATGTAAATAAATGTATAATTTAATATAAAAGTAAACAAATTACTAACTATTGGAAAAATGAGCATATAAATAATTTATATGCTCATTTATGCAATAGTTTAAATATAATCATATCTAATAATAATATTAATATAAAGATAAAAAATAAATAATTTTAAGAATATATTTGTTGAGAAATAAAAATAGTTCATTTGTTCTGAATACTGAACCTGGTATTGATTGCATTAAATACCAATCTAACAAAAATTCTACAAAAAATGATGAGTGAGTTGTTACTTGAGATTTTGATAAAAAAAAAGTTTTCGTCAAACAAATGATCTCCGAAGCTGGACTAACAAGTTATACCGAACTGAAAAGCCTAGCTGAAAACAGAGAAGAGTGGATAGTGAATATCCAATCGCAAAATGAACCTTAAGGGTTGAATACTAAAAAGAAGAAGAAAAAAGTTTAAAATACAGTGTCGGATCTAAGTCTCAGGAGGTCAAAATACAAATACCAATTAGAAGTCCCTTAAAAAAATGCGTTTAGTATATATATATATATATATATATATATATATATATATGCCTATAATTAATTTAATTTAATTTAAAAGCAAAAAAATAACATCGGAGCACAAAAAATAAGAAAAATAAACAACAAAACAGGCAATTTTAAATTTTGGTTTTAGAGCTTGAGGCCCCTCTGATAATATAGCATTGTTAAAGTATATTCAACAACCATGAATAATACAGCATGATGCTGCCTACAACTGTACTTAAAATATAAAGATTTGCTCGTAAACACTAAACAAGGTCATCACGTAAATCCATAAATATTAGATAACTCTAAGGACATCAGATATATTAAACGTCTGAAACCATTATTTAGTTGGTTAATTACTTAGTTTAAAGAATTAGAATATGGGCAGGAGCCATTTCAATCAAAGTGTAATATATATAATATTATTACCTAGTGTCTAAAGTATATAACATTTTTAAAATATTTATTAGACCTTTGAATAATTTCAATAATAAAGCTCTAGGAAATAAAAATAAGATATTAAATAATATTTTTTAGTTGACCGTTTGTACCTTATATTTTTTGTAAATTTGTGATCTAGAAATTATAGTTTCTTCTTTATTATAAATTATAAAACAGAGAAAATTGTTTAAATTTAGTTTTGTTGCTTATGTTATATATTTTAGTAATATTCATTAAATCATCAATACTTTATAAATTTATTAAGTGTTAACACTTATAGGTATCATAAATACAGTAGAATCTCGCGATTTTTACTGATCAGTAAAAAAAGGCTGCAGGTCAAATACATTTTCCAAGGCTGAAACTTAACGTTAATCTGTTTATAAATAATAATAGGATTTTAGGTTCTAATCATAAATAAAAGACTATATACTTTTCGAACAAGATATTAAATATACCTAATACCTATATGATAAAATTGAACCGGACCAGTTCAATGAGTCAAGATTAATTACATTTTATATATATAACATTGTGAATATTTTTAACATTTGCTATTCTGCCAAAATATATTAAAAAAAACAGGCACAAGAGGCCTACGTTTGGGATAAATTTAAATAAATCAAAATATGAGCGATTTTCTTTAAATTTATTTAAAATTATACAAATGTTATGGTATAGAATTATAATTTGCATTGTAGAATTTAATCTAATGCTATTATTGTTTCCAAATATTTATCAAAATACACGCTCAACGTATATTGATTATTATCCGAAAAGTTTGAAAATTAGAGCTGTGTCACAGAAAATATACATATTCTAACAAAAATGATTTTCTATTCACGAAACCATTGAAATTTTATATTTCTATTACCTACTACTTACTAGTATAATAAAAAATATTAAATAACAGTGTTTGATACAAACTTTAGGAACACTGTAGACGTTATGCAATATCTATTTGAAACAAATGAAAACACGTTATTTCTAAATAAGAATTAATATTTTTATTAATATTATTATAATTGTATAAACTATATATATAATAATCAAGGCATTTGAAAAAACTTAACAATTCTAAAATATCTCTTAATTTGTTGTCGTGATTTTATAAAATATATTTATTGAAACAATATCAAAATCGCCAAAAATAATATAGAATTGAAAATTATACCTTCTAATGCCCATTGTTACTTTATACTTATATCTATTAATGAAAGCGTTGTATTATCTCGTATAATTAATTATAAATACTAGTGAAGGGGATCACCATATACTCTCAAATTTCACATTTTCAAGACGGATCAATCAAATATCACTTAAATTTATAATTTAAAATTTATAAAAATAATACCTTATATGAAAAAATTTTTGAAAAAAATGATAGTTTTAATTTTTTAAATGTTTACACAATACGTGGGATTATAATATTAATAGGTTTTTTTTGTTTATCAATCCGACACATACATTCACGTGATTCACGACATACACGAAATATAGATCATACAATAGTTATACTCGCAGAAGCTTAAATTATAATTAGATTATTCGTATTCATTTTTATTTGAAAGCAATTTTTAAATTATAAATTCACACAAAAATAAATTTAAATATTTAGTACAATTTTCAATTAGTATCTTATTTAAAGCATTAACAATGGAAGCTTATATAATTAGCCTATATTATATCATACTTAAATGCATAAAAAAATGAATCATAAATAATTTATTATTATGTATAATATATAATTTAATATAAACATTATTTAATTGTTAAATATTTGAATATCAAATTATTATACCAAATTTTAAAAGATTCAATTTAAAACATAAACTCATATTTCTCGTATATACACTCATTTCAAATTGTATATTGACATTGCACATGTGCTCACTGAATAGCTATTCATGTTTTATGATTTCAGGCTTGATTTAATGTTAAATTATATTATGAATAGTAAATACTGAATACAAAAGAATAAACACCGACACCTGAAGACAAAATAAAACATACAATATGGTATATAGCTCACAATATTTGTACAAAATAAACTTAATTACCTAAAATTAATATAAATCGCGTTCTTTTAGTTTTAATTATAAAATATTAAAAAAAATGTGCATTTATATGTATAACATACATACGTATGTTACTTTTATAATAATTGCAAATCGATAGCATGACTAAATATTAATTTGGTGAATTTGGTGAATAATTCTTTATATTATGTGTTTTTTTTAATTTTTTCTAACTTTTTGGCCATTTTTTCAATTATTCCATTTTAAAATAATTTATATTTCATAATTAACAATGGGGTGATAACCTATGTTAAATTCCTTATAATTTAAGGTAATTTAAGGTAATTTAAGGTTCTATACGATATAATACGGTATTATACAAAAAATAAATAAAATATCGTATTTTAAAATCTCTACATATACATATATATGACATTTAGACATTTAAAAATGTTTAATACCAGATAACAATTATTATATCGATAAGATAGAGTATAGACGATAAATTTTAAAATTGTGTGATGTAATTTTAAAATATAGAACGGGCCAGATAAAAAAGGCTTGAGGGCCGAATGCGGCCTGCGAGCCGCCAGTTTCCCACCCCTGATTTAGAAAATTCTACAAACATCAAATATTATAAAATAAAATACAAATAAACACATGGACAAATAATAAATACAATTGTTAGGTAACACTGGATCATTCTTCTTAAATTCAGAAAAACTAAAATCATGTATTTTACATAAATCTAGCATTTATTTCTGTCACAAACAAATAACAGTATATACGAATAATGAGCATAATTAATAATTGTAGTTGAAAAAATTAAATAATACCCTGTAGGTAATAGAAATTTGCAAACAATTATGGCTATCACAATATTTGTTGACAGTTTGAATATAGGTACATAAGTTATTAGTTAATACTCAATATTAATATAAATTAAATACAGGGTATACCTGTATACTAATGATCCATGTAATAAGTACATTAGGGTGGTCCTTATTTTTGAACTTACGAATTTTTGATCTCTCACCCCCTCATTTTGTTCATTACTTTAAGAAAGTAATTCGGGTTGAATTTGGTCATGATTACTCAC